GTATTGAAATTCCAGACATAGCAGATGCCAGTGTAATCTTTTGGTCACACTTTAACTGCAAGGAACTGTGAATGAAACGCATTTTTTTAGAAACTGATAGGTCTGGGGTTTTTTTTTTTAGTACTATTTTTATTAAGAGATAAAATTCTCAAATCAGAAGAATTTATAGTACAGATCGTATTATTGCTACAGGCATCTGTGGCAATGGCTGAAATTTACATCCAAGCTTTTCCTGTACAGAAGATGACGTTTCTGTATTTTGAAGGATCTTAACTCAAGAGACTCAAGATACATAAAGCCATATTCTTCTCTCTCAAAATAACTAAGGAACATGAATGTCATTCACATTTTTTTCTAACTAAAATGAAAGACGGGTTTATGGGTATGTGGGCCCACATGATTGCAAGCCAGTGCATAGCTAGTTAATATTTCTGCTGGCATCTTGAAAATTGGTTTAATCAATGGAAACATTCATTAAATTTTTATTCCATCTAATAATCTGTGCTAGTGCATTACTTTCTTTGTAAAAAAATTAACCCTGGCAAGTATTAAAAATAAATCTCTCTTTTAGGTCAAACTAAAGCCTTGCTTTTCAGTATTCTCTCTTCCCTTTACATACTCTCATACCTTCTAGTAAGCAAAGAAAAACTGAAGTAAAATTATAAGAGGAGCTGAAAGATGGAGGCAAAGTGGTGGCAAAGGAAGTAGGAAAAGAGGACAAAACTACTGCCACTCAGTTTGTCTTCAGTTTCTTTGCCTGCTTCTTACGTTTCCATTCCTCCTCTTCTCGTTTCATTTCTTCCAGGTCCTCTTGTACCCCAAGTCTCAAGCTGCAAATCAAAACAAGATACAACTTACTTTGCATACAGCGTCCCAAGAGACTTTTCACTTACAGAAAGAGGGGGAAGCACCAATTTAAATTCAAATGTTCTAGTAAGGTAACAGCATCATGTTTCTTTTTAAATGAAAGCTGCATGGGTCCCACAATTTTTTAGCAGGTTTGTTGAGTTGGAAAGACATCTTTCCATTTCAAGGGGAAACAATATGTCTATGATATTTGCTTAAAGGCATTCAGCAGCAGGAAAGAGATAGTATAGGAGGCCATCTGAAGCTTTCAGAAAATGTGGTTTCAGTTAAACAGGGATCCAGATCTAGTGAAGAGAAATAAATTATAGTCCCCCTAACTCCTTATCTCAGTCAGTCTTATATCTTGTGAAAGAAACAGCTCTCTATCCAGGGAAGCAATAAAGGCCAACTGGCCAAGACTGGGAGAAACATTCAAGTATGTGATATCCCAGGCATTCTCCAAAGAACAATGTAAAGGCCCCAGAAATGTAAACAACTGCAAGTCCAAGAACTATCTATTAACTACAGTAAAGCACTGCATCACATCCACCTTCAAAACATGCAGGTGATGCTGAAAATCTAATTCAGATTTTTATCACTGGCCCCAAGCTGCCAGTGAAGAACAGCAGCGTTCTAGAGGCCCCACCAAGATTGGAAAATCTAGTTTAGTTTTCATTTTTTGTCATCACCAGTTGTTTGCTTTTGTCTAAGAAATTTTTGCATAGGCATTTCTTAATCAATTCCTTTTCCCCTTTTCAGGCACCAGTGAAATGCTGCGATATGTTTAAGTAAATTACTGGATTTAATTACTTTTTATTACTAAAATTGCATATTGGAGTTTTAAAACATCTATAGAAGCACCTTTTGACTTAAGCTTCATGTAAACCTATAGTTGAGAAATCTGAGACAGAGCACTAAACTAGGATAAGAGAGATGAGGGCCCTATTTTCATCTGTGCCACTATCCTGCTACATCGGGGTAGGCAATGTTTTTTGGCTGGAGTGCCAAAAAA